ATGTACTTTCGCTCGAGGTCCTTTCGATGGTCCTTGCCATGTAGTCATTTTCCTCCCTCCCTTCTCTCCCCGAGTACACGATTTACTCCGACTCTCACTCTGCCATCCGTCACATACAGAACAACACGTTGCCCCCTGCTCTTCAACAGGAGGTCGAGCAAGCGGCCTCTGCTCTTCAACCCTCCGCTGTCTTCCTCCGCTGGGTTCATGGGCATTCGGGTATTAACGGCAATGAGCAAGCTCATCAGCTTGCCCGCGGTATATTGCACCGGGCACCGTTCATTCCCTGGCCCACACCTTCGGAAGACAGTGAGAGCTCCGCGAATAACGATGGGCAGATCTCCTTGCATCACACTATCAAGGAGGTATATCTCCAGCTCCGGCTCGACAAGCGTCTTTACCCTCCCCCTCATCCTTCACTCACTACGCTCGAACTCTACGGCACATCCAAATGAACTGCATGATAACCTCCTCTCGCCTTTTCCTTTATAAAGATAGGTCTAACCCCTGCTGTCCTAATTGCCCCTCCCCATACTGCTGACCTGTCACACTGCCTGTTTTACTGCCCAACTGCTCAGCAATCCAGTTATTACCCTCCCCCATCCCTTTCCATCACCTCCTGGCTCGACTGGATCGGCGCCGAAGGGGAAGAACTGCGTCGACTGGTCGCACAGGTGGTCGAAATGCTCGGCCTGTAAATTGTGGCTGAATATTAGTCTATTACTACTACTACTACTACTACTGATATTAACCTGGGTTTGTAGCCTCTTGTGCAATAAAGGCTGGAGAGCGCAAATGCGTGACCGCAGAGGATATGTCAGTGAGTGTTAGTGCGCATGGGCGTGTTGCAAAAACATTAGAATCGAACACAGAAAGTAGCTACTGTTAGTATTAACCCGGAGTTTATAATTCATAATCTGTATAGTTTGTTCGAAGCTAAGCCTCTCAATCTGAATTAGCTCCTTTCCGCAACTTGCGCAGATGAGCCAGCAAAAAATAGAAAAACTTTAAAAAGATCGAGTAAAATTGGTGCATTTTTGTCCCACAACAATAATTGTCATTCGGCTTGCTTGCGCTTTCCTTTTTGAAAACTAAAACTTCTTTGAAAAAAATTAAAGGACTCGCCCTATGTTGCAGTCCTTTAATTTCTTAAAACAAAAAGACATCATTTTTATTTGATTTTTTAAAGTGTAGAGTCATGGCTGCTGTATGAAAAAAAACTTTTTTTTTTCATTTAGCGGCCATGGCAGTGTGCGCAGATCGCTGCCTTTCCGATGACGTCACATTGCCTTCTCACGCCACGGCAAATCCACCCTCTCGACATGGAAACCGAAAGTGCCTTTTAATATTATAAAAGTATATACGATGCAATGTGACAGCACACTTTTTAGGGTTCTCTAAACACGTCTTCTTTTCGACAGCAAGTTCCAAAATATTCAAAATTCGTGCTGTACGAGTGATAACTGCTGTGCATCAGGAATTGGCTACAGATATTCGAGCCATCACAGTATAATAATCACATTCGATATGGATGCTTCCGTTACAGGTTACATTTTGTATGTGCTTAATTATCGCCTTCAGTTCGTGTCGACATTTACTTGACAAATTCTCAAGCATGTCCTACACAGCCGTCCTCCATGATCAAATAGCGTTACAAACTCACTAAAAGATATGCCGTGAGCCATATGATTGGACAAATAAGTTCGCACCTCTGTGGTTCGGCAGTGCTCAGAGCACGCTGCTTTTCCTTCCGATCTCTAGCATTTGAAATAGGTGCTGTCAACTGTGCAAGCGAAGCGAGGCGCTGAATGATTCAATCCGCGTCACCGATGCAACAGGTGTCGCCGTCGCGTTCCTGCAGATTGGTGGATATCTGCGGTAATGAGGGAGATAGGTTAGATTTCAGATTCAGTAAGTAAAACCAGCAGTCATGATTTTTAATGATATTGAAGGTTGTGAGCTTAGGATACAGAAAGTCACCCTAGAGATAACAGGTAAATACAAATATGTGGGCGTATGGATAAGCAATAGGACCGACTACCTAAGGGAACACGAAATATAAGTGAACACTAAGGTATCAGAAATGCAGCAGTGATGAAAAATAGGGCACCGTGGAAGTACAGTAGGTATGATCTTGTGAGAGGAATATGGGAAGGGGTTTTTGTTCCTGGTCTAACGTTCGGCAATGCGGTCTTGTGCATAAGATTAGAAGTTCAAGCAAGATTAGAAATTAAGCAACGTGGGATAGGCAGGGGCGGCGCCAGGATGTTTTTACTGGGGGGGGCAACCACGAAAAGTGAGTTCTTCCAGGGGGGCAAGGAAGTGGGGAGCTTATGCGTTGTATTTTCACTGTCTTACTCTCTTCCCCTTTTCTTCTTTTATAAACGCCCAACTTCTTCGATGGAAGTCTACGATATGTCCTGTTACATGTCACCTACGCTTCGTTCAGTAGCTCAACACGTCAATAAACATGCGTATTGTTCTGCTTAGGTAAGTTCAACGTAATATATTATCTGAAAGATTTTCTCTTGATCTAAATCAACTCTTACACTCTTACAAAAGAAATCACCTAGGCACTAGCTTTATACGGGTTAGAATGGGATTAGCTGGGCGAAAAACAGCTGATCTATAGCTTCCTTGATAATATTACCAGAACGATAGCAACTTGAGAAAATGGGCGCAGCTGTGATGTAGTCGGAGGTAGCCAGCCAAGCCTCTGGGAGAAGTCGAGCCGAAGCAACGCCTCCTAGAACTTGTCAAGCCTGCGTGTCACGACGTCAGCTACGTCATCAGCGTCGACCGGTTTGACGCCGCTATGCTGCTTCGCTGTCTTTGCTGTCTAGTACACTGTAGCTGTATCTACTGCTATGCGCAGTTCCCTGCAATCTCGCCAAGGATAGCTATCTATTAGCTCACCTGCAACTGCTTCATTTGCTGCACGCAAGTGCTGCTTAGTCACGAAATACCACAATCTTTCACCACAATCTTCCGAAAACACAAGAGGACACCAATTAGTCGGTGGCTGAAACCGTTTGGCTGGGCTAAAGGCCCAGGTTCTAAACACACCAGTGTAAGTAAGATATTCGAGCAACGCAGTAGGATACAACTTAATATTTAGCATGTTTACACAGCAGTTGTATTGCTAGTAAAATGAAAATTGATACAGTGTGTCAAACAACCGATATACAAAATGCAGTACCAAATAAAAGAAATTAAGCTTGGTAACCAGCAGCAACAAAATAACACGTGTTAACTAGATCAGAATATAACTTCGAAAGAGTCATTTCAGAGCATCAGAGATAACTAACACCACTAAGTAATGTTCATATCAATTCCAAGTTTCGTAATGATGCGCCAGATTACAAAATGTTAAAAGGCTGTTCTTGCACCTGCTGGTGTGGCTAAACGTTGGAAATGGGAAAAGAAAAAAGAAGCAATGTAGCAAAAGAATAAACAAATGAAGGGCATAGATTTGTAAAACTGGATCACGCATAGGCAGGTAAGTCATTTCACATCTGACTAAACAGTACACCAGTTTTCACAAACGTGTCAGCTCTCCTACTAGGCACTGTTCACCACACAAGCGGGGCACCGACGTGGCCTCAGACAAGCGGGGCACCTTTTGCAGTTTGTTTGAAAGCGAGGAAAAATGGCCGGAATTATTTGATGGCGAAGCGGGTTTCCGTGCGCGAACATTTTTCCCATGAAAGTGCCGCAAAGGTACTATAGAGTTTCATTTACCGGCATACTAGTGCAGACGTATACGCCGATTATTGTGTGCAGCATCGAACATGTCAACAACACGCTGAAGGTCTATCTTATTGGCTAGAGACCGTTCTACCGCAAGCACAGCTAGGTCGCTCAGACGGTTGTTAGTCATTTTGCTGCGAAGATAAGTCTTCAGTCTTCGAAGGCACGAAAATGTGCGCTCGCAAGAAGATGATGATGCCGGTATCGTCACGGCGATAACACTTAGCTTGTGCAGTTCGTGAAAGGCTAACTTATACTCTTCCAAGACGGTGACCAATTGCAGCAATGTTTCTATCTTGCACTTCCTTTCGGCTTCGATGTGCTGAAGAAGTTTAATTACCAACTTGCATTCAACTTCAACGCTGTTGATGTCGCATGCATAGTGCTCAGCGAAAGGCTTGAGCAAGGCGACGTCCATAAAATTCTCACTTTGAGGGTGGAGGGCGCTGACTCCGCAGAGTACGTCATTATTTTCCGCAAATCGCCTAGTCAGTTCCACAATGAGGTGGTCCAAAACGGGCAGAAAAACTTTGACTCTGAAAGTTTCTTTTGAATCTGGAGACTCTTCTTCAACGGGCCGTCCTTCACTTAATAAAAACTGCTCTAAATGGAGCGGAAGGCGCTTCGTTCTCTGCTTTTCCCTTTGGGGGACCCCGTTCTCCTCAGAAATAGTGCAGGTTTGCTCCCACACAGTGCCAAACGCGCTCTGCGAATTTCTGATTTCGGATAACTCGTCAATGACAGTGTGCGCCATGAGGCATGCCTGACTAAGGTTGCAGTCTTTACTTTGTAATATGTCCGAAAAAACCTTAAGGCGGCTGAGTAGCTTGGTGAATAGCCTTAAATGGAAAAGAAAAGAGAAGTTCATTTGCTCCAGCAGACCCCCGGCTTCCGTTGCCCGCCTGCTGTTTGTAGCGATGACTTCGCTGAGGCATACAAGAATGGCAGGAAAGCTTTTCATGGCAGCTGTGCAAGCCGTTATCTGGCAGGCCCATCGTGTATCGCTGAGACGCTGCAGCTCTGTCACAGGCAAAGACAACCTTTTTTGAACATCTACATAAAGGGAGTGAACTGCAGATCCACTTAGGAATACATAAAGGCTTTCCAAAAGAGAGCAAAAATCCCTCACCGGTTTTATCGCCTTGCAGACACATCCACGATGACAAGATTGAGACGGTGGTTCATGCAGTGTACGTACACTGCCTGCGGCACTTCCTGCCTGAATAGTGCCTGGACGCCTCGTGACGTACCGCTCATAACACTTGCACCATCGTATGTTTGAGCAATGCACAGTTGAGAATCAATGCCGCAGCGATTCAGCGTTTCCTTGACGTAGCTCAGGAGCGACTTAGCATCCAATTGCTCAGCATTGCGGAATACAAGGAACCTCTCAAAGAAAGCCCCATTGAGGTAGTACCTTACTACCACTGACAACTGTTCCGTCTTACTTAGATCCTTGGTTTCATCGACGATAAGTGCAAAGCACTGGGAGCTTTTCATCTCTTCCTTTATACTTGTTAATGTGATGTGGCTGAGAATTTCGAGGATCTGGTCTTGTATCGAGTGATGAACGTACTTCGCATTCGCTGCTCCACCATTCAGTTTCTTTCCTATAATGTCGTCATATTTAGCAAACAAGTTCAAGAGCTCAACGAAGTTTCCTTTGTTTTCACTTCTGGCACTTTCATCGTGGCCCCTCTGAGGGATTCCCTGAACGGCAGTAAATCGCAATATATCGGCAACTCTTGCTACATAGAGGCGATTTTCCTGCACCTCCCTGGAGTACGCGTCGCTGAGATGTGTTGCAACCGACCTGCTTTGTTCTCCCGCCTTCATCTGCGTGAAGGAAACCCACGATGCCTGGCAAGTCTTATGCACGAGTGAGTTTTCGTGCTTCCTGAAGCCACCGTCTCTTTCTAGGGCATTTTTCCAATTACTGTATCCACCATTGACAAATGCAGATTTCTCATTGTCACCAGTTGAAAACATTCTGCAAGGGAAACAGAAAGCTGCGTCAGCCTGCGCGCTGTACTCCAACCAAGGAAATAGGTGGTACCAGTTTGAGTTGAAGCTCCTGCTCAATTTGCCGTACTTCTTAGATGGAGATGGGTTCAGTATTGGCTGTGTGGGTTGCTCTGTCTTGAATTTCGAAATGTCCAACTGGCCTGCGTGGTCGACATCCACATCAGAGGCGGTGAATTCTGTCGCAGAATCAGGTTGATGTCTTGCTGCACACGATGCAGAAAGGTCATCACATTCGCGGTCCATGTGCCCTGACGAGGACGGGCAAGCATCGTCAGACGCGATGCTACGCACAGTCTCTTCAAGCGGAATTGAAACAAAGCACTGAGCATTTTCTTGTTCCTGAAGCGTCTCCGAATCTTCTGCTGTGGAAGCAAAAAGCTCGGGGGAGACAGCTTTTTGCTTGGCCCGCTTGCTCGAAGGCGAAAAAAAGTCGGCAATAGACCTTTTCTGTGACATACTGAGACAAGCCAATGTAGACTGAACGTTGGAGGGATGGCAGGGGAGACCCACGCCGTAGAGGGCGCTGCGGGGTCAGCCGCTGCCGTTGAATGGGGGGGGGGGGGGGCTAAACTCGTTACAAGAATGTTGACCTCTCTGATGTTCCCTTCAACCTGTCTTTAAAAAACCTGTTCCTTTGCTCCCTCGCTACACGCGTTCTGCACGTGTTTTTGAGAGTTTCGCCTCGCGCGCGGTTAGGATGTACACGCTTTTGTCGCGTTTAAGATCGCCGCAATTTAAGATTTTTTTCGTGGCAGCAATTTCGTGAAAGGTCAGCGATCTGCTCAGCCATGTAGCAGATGCGGAGCAAGTGGTAGCAGACAACGTCATAATCAAACTCTATAAAAACATGTGCGATGGCAAAATGCCTCATTAAAAAAAAAACTAGCGATTGCGACCATCTGGTGTGCACAGAAATATGTCATACGAGAACTGCACGGAGATAGCTATGTATGGAAATTTATTTATCAAACATTGTGCGTAGTCCGTTGCTTGAATCATTATTACATTTAATGAAAGGTATCCAAAGAGCAATGCGCTTGTTGTACTCGTTGTTAGGCTAGTTAGTACATGTCTCAATTAAATAGTCAATTTCGCGCCAAAATCACGACCATACTGCAAATGAAGAAAACACATAGACAGGGCGGGCGCGCTTGTTGCATAGACAAATGTCCTTGTTACTAATCGCGTTCCAATCTTACCCTTAAAACGTGGTGGTATGAAGGGGTCACGTTTATGATAAATACCCTTTTATTCTAGCTTTACTTGATAATTGCACGTGCGCGGAACAAATTTTCGCTGAGCGTAAATTTTGGAATCAACAGTCTAAAGAGAATGCTTTAAAATGCATAGTCAGTTATGCGCTTCGCTGCTTATCATACCTCTGCGCCGTTTCTGCGTGAGATGCCCGTTTCCTGTAAGCCGCTGGAACTATCGTCAGTACATAAGAAGTGTGCTCGCTTGAGTCACTTTGCAGTTTTCCACAAAATGGCTGCTACAAATCATTGTCGAAGCTTTTGGCAACCACATTCTTCCATCGGCGCTGCTTAGATACAAAAAATATATAATCACACATCACAAATACCACATGTGTACACAACTTCAACTACTACAATATCGAATAACAGTAGCAGCATAAACATGTCTTCGCAATTTTTTGACAGTGCTGAAAAGATGCAAGTTGAAAGTAATATGGCAATTTGCGCTTTTAAGATGCAGATATGTATCTCCATGTAACTCAAAAGCTTAGAGGAGTGGTGACGCAGGAATAAACTCCTGTCAGGTTAAATGCATCGTGCACGTGCTCATTTTTATAAAAAAAAATTTACTTGTCTCGGCGCACTGTTGCGATCCATGCTTGTCGCCTGCTTTTTCTGTTTGGGAATGTTGAAGTCGACCCCTTCGTGTTTACATGGCCATTGTCACAGTTGACGACACAGCTATGATCAACGTTACTAGATACTTTTTCCAGTTGTTAAACTCCGCCGCGGCGCGTGACGCTTTTCCATTGAGCGCCGCGTGGGGGCGCACGCGACACGATTGGCCCGGTTCGGTGAGAGGTGCAACCGCGAAGGAACCGGCCTGCGAGCGCAGAAGGCGACCGCATCGTTCTGCTCGAGTTGTTGTGCGCTGCGGCACGCATGTATTCCGCGGGTCGCTCTTCATCGCCAGCGTGCCGAAGGTGCGGTGATGACGAAACGCTGCAGCATATTGTTTGCTCCTGCCCTGACCTGGCCACTGAGCGTTGCGCACTGGTAAGCCGCTATCGTCTGCTTGGACTACCTGCCGAAACAATGGAAGACATACTTTTTCCCGCGCGCTCGAAGACGAAAGCCCTTCGAGCCTTCCTCGAGTTCTGTGCTTGCGCGGACCTCGCCGCCTTATAGACGGACTCTTTTCACTCGCACTACTGACTGTACTGACAAGACGTTCTCTTGCCATGACATTCACTTTTTCTTTCCCTCCTCTCTTCTTCCTATCATCTTTACTTCCCCTTCCCCGATCCCTAAAGGCGCTGAGCCGTGCCCCCGCGACGGGAGGCAGAAAATAGCGTCCTTTTTGTCTCTTCCTCTTTCAATAATCTCTCTCTCTCTGTTGTGCGCGTTTGCTTTTGTTTCCCGTGTATAGACGTAAAATGTCGATGACTGCTGTGACTGTGTAGTGAGAAGCAATGCCCCGTTGCTTTGTGACCGGCTGCAAAAGCGGCTACGACTCTGCGAAGAGCGCAGCTGAGAAGAGACACTTTTTCAAACCGCCCAACGAAACTTCGAGGCTTCAAGAATGGCAACACGCGATCCCAAGGAGCGACAGGGAGCTCACGAGCTCTTGTGTTGTGTGCGACCTTCACTTTCAGGAAGCAGACCTTGTGAAAAACTTCGTGCACAACATCCGCGGTGACGTCGTCGTCATACCGCGAGACAAGTGGAGCCTCAAAGATGATGCCGTACCCCGCTTGTTTCCCAACTGTCCGAAATATCTTTCGAAGCCTTTGCGGAAACGCAAAGCTCCTGCCGTGAGGTCACCCCTCCAACCGAAGCGTCGGAATGTTCAGGACGATGCCGAACAAGAAAACACAGCGCCAAACACCTTCGACTATGGGGAGAGAGACGGCTCTGTGTCAGGCAGCGTCACACTCGATAGTACTCAGTCCTTGTTCGATGAGCTATCGACAATGGCGCAAGAGGGACGGCGGCTGCAAGGCTGGTCGACTGAACTCGTTGATTCTGTTGTCGTCCAAGGACGCCCACCAAGAAGAGAAAGTCCGCCTGCATGACATAGTGGAAGCCAAAATGATGGAAATTACAACTGCTTCTGCTGACACATCTGAGCAACGGCCAAGCGACCACACCTATTTCAAGGGTGTGGTGGAGGACATTGTTGTGTACTACCTGTGTGGCTAGGTCATACACAAGTTCACCAAGCATGCAACATGCCATCTCTGCATAGAGGACATTAGCTCCGCCACACCTGTGCTTGCTTCTGACAGCTACCTAACCGACTACAGGAGCTTCAAGTAAGGCAGCTTAAAGCATCCAACACAGAAGATGTTGACGTTTTTTTAAAATAGTCAGCAAAGTAGTTTCAGCTTGTCTGGACAAGGAGGATCTCTGCGGGGACATATTTTGGAAAGTGTTGGAAGAGTTGGAGAAGCACCACCTTTCTCGACTCGGCTGTGACCAGCACAATTCAGCATTCACGTGCCAACTGCTGAACTTTTTTATCATCACCGCATGCATTTCTTCTCGCGGGATGTGAACCGCCGCCTCGGAAGCAGCCAAAAAGTGGCAATAGCGAACAAAAAGGCCCGCCTGCTGTGAGCAATCACGCAGCAGCCGAATAAGGTTCTTTGAATGTGTGTACGTTTGTGTTTTAAGTGTGTGCTGGCGCGTTACTTTGGCTCTTTGGATATGTGAAGCACTCCTGCTTGTGCGTAAAATAAATGTTTGTCAGGGCGTGCATACATTTCGTCGGCGTCCGCTGCTGAGCTAGGAGCCGGGCTGCTGCAAAGGTGAGTACGAGCGCTTTGAGTTGACGTTTTTCCTCTTGTCCTCGCCGGTAGTTCGCGCTTTCAAGAAGCAACTTGTTATACCAACTGCCACAAGCAACCACGCGTGCGAGTGGGCGTGATAGTGTGCGAAAATAATCTAGCTGTTACGAACCAACGTGCTGACGCACGTTCGCGATACGCGGTGCTTTCTTTATCGAAAGTTCGCGAGCAATACAAGCCGCCCAGTCTGCGTTTTCCGGTTTTCTGTATAATAGCAGGCAACTTGCCTCAAATAGATGGAAAATGTTAGCCGAAAAAGCATGCAGAACCTATGAACAGCACCCGCAACTGCGCTGAACTGCAGGGGAAAGTTGCCTGTTCAGCTGCGCGCCGACGCGCTCGATCGGGCCGACCGTGGCGCGAGCGCCCCTGGCGGCAGTAAACAGAGAGGGGTCAAGTTTGTGCGGCGATCCAGGCGGAGTTTGACAACTGGAAAAGTATCTAGTAACGTTGGCTATGATTCCCTCCTCTTTGTCGCGTTGACATGGCGGAACGAGGGCTGTTTCACGTGCAGCGCGCGCTTCACAAGTATACGCGGGACGCGGGAACCAAAGGGAGTGGAGGCTGTACGCTTTTTCCGGCAGAGAAGCGTTGACGTCGCCGGACAAACTTCTCGAGTCTCCTCTCTCACGACGGGGGGCAGGGGGGGGGGCGCAGTTAGGTCTGCACATTGATATAATAGAGGCTGCGACTGGGGGGGAGCGCCAAGTCAGCCCCATGCATTGACATAAGAGGGAGGGGTGGCACTGCGACGAACCTTCGCCCCTCCTGAAGGGGAACCCTGCGTATGCCTATGCGTGACACGAACACTGCTTGGGAGCGAGCACAGAGGTAAGAAAAATAAGGAAAAAAGTGTGGTCTTACACCGCGAGAGCTAGCAACGAATGGAATACCACGGCAGTTGGCAAGTTTTGTTTTTTTTTACGTGCCGCCTTGGCATCGCCTAAAGACGACACGCATATCCGCGTGTTGTGTGTTCTAGATTTAGTGCCAGGGACCCCCAGCCGCCGGCGTACGCACGCTCTGGCGTTCCATTGTACTCCCAACTGCACCTGCAGAATATGCAAAGAAACGTACGTGGGCGGCTGGGATCTCCCTATGTCCCAAAGTTAAACTTCACATGAAAAGGTAGCGAAAACCGGCTCCGTATATGAACGTCTGCGGTTTTGAGCCCACCTGCTTGCTGCTGCTCCTGCGTTCTAGCCTGCTTATGGCCACACGTGCACAGGCACGCAGGCAGAAATTTGTTTAAGGTGAGGGGGGGGGGGATACTACCTGGATCCGAAGTTGGGGCCGGCCAGGCAGACGTGGTCGAGCGTCGTTTTGTTTTGTGCCCTGTATGCGATGGCATTTTTGGAGGGAGGGGGGTCACAGGCCTAATGTGCCACCTCCTGGCTACGCCACTGCACGT